AACACCAGGACTGCAGCCCCATGCAGTGGTGTCACCCAGCACTGTCCATCGCTCCAAGGGGAGTGCAGCCCCAGCCCCACAGCCGGGCTGTGCTGGGCAAGGGACACCAGGAGCTCTGTGCTCCCTGGGACAGGCACAGCCTGGCCAGGACACCAAGGACCACAGCTCCTCTGGAAGCCCCTCCATGCCCAGCCTGGCCCTCATGTACACGGCTGACCAGCCCACACCAACACGGCTCCCAGCACTAGCTGCTTCTGAAAAAAACACTCATCTTAGAGCAAGGCAACTTTCCTGTGAGCTGTTCCATCAGCTGGCCTGAGAGGCTCCTGCTGCCCTCTCTGGAGGAGATGCTCCAGGCAGTGTCACGGGTGGCTGAGGCCACCCCTCGCGTGGGGACACGGCCACAGCCAGCGCGTGTGGCCCCCAGAGCAGAGCCTGCCCAGCCAGACGAGCCACCACCAACCTGCCAGGGCATAAATCCCTGCTTTGGGCTTTTGGTGACACTGAAGCTGGCACATGGATCACACCAGGGACACCTGCTGCTTCTAAGAAACACAGCACACACCTCTACATATTAATGGTAATACGTCTAGGTATTAGTAACATAAACATTCTGATTGTTAAAGAAAATTTTACCTAGAAGTCTTTTTACTTCTGAAAGCAACTTTGAGATTGAACTCAGCGATTCCGTAACTTGCGTATCCAATAAGCAGAGGGAAATGTGACTCTTTACAGAGCACTTCTCTGGCCCAGAAAAATGAAAAATTTATGGCAGTAATTTTTGTGGGAAAAAATAAGTTGTTGCTACAAATCTCAGAACTCCAGAACAAAAAACATACTGTATCATCCAAAGGTCACATTCAAAAGCAGCTGCCAGGGAAAAGAAGCAAAGCACAGGTCATTGTATTTTGTTATTTTAGAAATAAGCGTACTCCTTTTCACCATTTAGAAATAAACTGAGGGATTTGAATAATAGAACACAGAGAAAAGAAATACAGATGTTGCCAGATTTTTGAGTAGCTTCTGCAGTGCCACACATCTAAAATAAATTTAAGTTCAATGTCTAGACAAAGACATTTCAAACACTGATAGTTCACAAAGGGCATTTCCTTTTTGATAGAGATAAAACAATAAGTCAATTTATCAGAGACTGCTATTTCCCTTCTGACTCCATAAGCTGCAGTTGCTGCTACCAAATAGAAGACTCCTTTCTACATTATTTTTTAGGGAAGAGGCAAAAATTAAATGCTCTCAAATTAATTTTCCTTTCCATTTTAGGCATATCGTTATGATTTTATTCACTAAATGTTCAAGCACACTTCTTTTTCTCTCGTTTTCATTTTACAAGTGTTCTTTGGAGTCAGAAACAGCCACACACAAACTTGCCAAGCTCAGAGTGCAATCATACTCACACCCAGTCTACAAGAAAGGGGCCAGGCAGGCAAAAGATATAACAGAGAGAAGATAAATTGCTTTTTGTACCCCTTAGTGGCCGGACATCAATGCTGCAGCTCTGAAAGCTGTCTTTCCAAAAAAAAAAAAAAAAAAAAAAAGAGAGAGATTAGGATTGCAGCTATTCATGGGAGAAGAAATATGTTAAAAGGAAGGTTTTAATGAAGAAATGGATGAAAGACTTCCAACTACAGGAGATTAACGTTCTTATCATATAAACTCTTACTGCAAAGCGGAGAGAAGGGGTGGGAGGGGAGAACGCTCCTCCAAAGACGTGGAAACTCTGACACTGAAAATGAATTCTAAGCATTAGTGCATGGCACAGTTCGGAATGATTCTTTTTGCACACTTTATTATGGACTTTTAAACTTTAAAAAAAAAACCAAAAAGAGTGTAGATTATGCCAAAGAGCCAGATTTGCTGAATTACCCATTTCTTAAACACTCTGTGAAGAAGGTAGGACCCTGTGTACGAACAGCAACCAGCAGCATCAGCAGGCAGTTTTCTGACAGGCATGCCAGGAAAACCACCAGCAACAGGTGGAACACACAGGTCCACACCTGGTGCTGCCCTTGGTTAGGGAAACACAGAAATACAGGCAAAAATATGCTGTGATTTAGTGTGGTATTAGACAAGCAAAACCAAAAACTGAAGAGCACCTAAAACCATAGGGAATCCGGGCAGAGAGGGGAGGGAAGACTCCCATCTGTGTATGGAACACTGGTACTCGTGGACCATAAACCTGCAGGATGGCAGCTGAGGACCAAAAGGTGAACCTTGATCTGCCACTGGCACCCAGAGCTCATGTCCTACAGCCAAGCATCATGGCTTTCCCTCACAACAGATGCTGGTACCTGGAGCTGGAGATCTGCACAGGGGAAAGACTCTCTGTGCACCAGAGGTATCAGGACAGCATTATTTGTTTACAGGGAGTATTAAAATAATAAGGTTGGTAGACAAGAGCAGGTTGGGCAAGTGAGGTGCAGGGGAGTGAACAGAATAAGGAGATATACTCAATTCCTTTCCTTAAGGAGATGTTTCTGACTCAGAAACTGACTGAGCATCTTTATTCAGGGACTCAGATGTGAAAACAGACTCATCAAATGACTGACACAACCGGCTGCTCTCACAGGCAGAGGACTGGTCACGTTTCAGTTCCCTTTTCCATGGGAAGCAAACTGGACACCAGACACATCACAACACTGTCACGGGAGGTCTGTCCAATGCACAGACAGAGGCAGTTGCAGGAGAAAAGGGAAAGGCAAGGCTTCCTGAATTCTTACACACTATAACCATCCCTACTGATACTGCAGGCCACAAAATTGTAATTTATAGACAGTACTGTTGCCAAAACACCTATCTCATTCTCTAGAAACCCTGAAAACAGAATTGTGCATGTCTCAAAATATTTTAAATGAATAAGCAGAGAATGTCTCTGAGAGGATAATGTGCCAATATACATATTTTTAACATACATGTCTTTGAACCAAAAGTTTCTATTTCATGTTTCAGCAGAATAATTTATAGAATCACAAAATCCCAGAACGGTTTGGGTTCCAAGAGGCCTTAAAGATCACCTTGTTCCAACCCCCTGCCATGGGCAAGGACACATCCCCTTAGACAAGTTACATATTATTGTCTATAGGATGAGAGATACAAGTTCAGTAAACAAATTACAGTTACTGTACCTTGGGAACATTTATGGCTTCTCTTCCCTACACCTATTTTGTTGCTGTTTTGGTTTTTCATGACACACAGATACCTACAACACAATTTATCCTAAACCTATGTCTTTGCATGGGGATCACAGTGTGTATTGGAAAAGAAGCAGCTGAACCAAATGTTTGTACACCACAGCTACTTGAATTCCATCCACCAGAATCTGGAGGGGTTTGGAGAGGGTTCTGGCCTACTGCTGAGAACAAAACCAGAGCAGGAGAAGAGCAGGTATATTTATGACCTCGTATGACTGTCTATGACTTTTCACTAAAACATCTCAAAAACTACTGCTTGCACTCTACTAAACAACTTTAGCTCTGAACAGTGTCACCCATTCATACAGTGCAGGGAAATTCTACCCCAGACAGCAGAGCTGACTGCTCTGTATGTGGCTTGCTTATTGCCAGCACATTCACTCTGAACCAGAAACATAACAATGTATTTGTCATATATTTGTCACAAAACCACGACATAACTTAGCAAAAACTGCCCTGTGGTACCAAAGTACCATTTGATTTTTAACAGCCCCCTCAGTCAGCATGGCACACCTGCAAGGCAATTCTCAGAAACTTTTAAGATGTTTATAAGGAGGAAAAAATGACATGCATTTTAAACATGGTGTGCTTATTAGGGCCTCTGATGCAGTGACAGGGTGCTTTATGTTAAAGTCTTGTAGCTACAAACTATGCTAAGCTATGTAAAAACATACACAATTCCAGAAGAAGGTTATCAAACATTTAAGGTCCTGAAATATGTGATTTACCAAAAAAGGTGAAGCCTGTTCCTCAGCTCTTCCCTCACACAGTGCAGCAGCAGCAGCCATGTGAACAGCAGCACTGTTTATGGACACTCTGACAAAGAAACTCCACTGATGTCAGTCTGCAGATTGGTGCCACAGAATGATCCATTTCATGCAAACCTCCTCACTTACATATGCACTAAATAAAGCTATGTCATACATAGTTTTCTAGCTCCTTTCAAAGTACTGTCTATTTTACTTTATTTATAAACTTCTCTTCTTCTGTTTCTTTCTCCAGCCTTTGTCTGGATCATGGTTTCCCTCAACCCGGCAGGAGGGACGCTGTTCACAGTAAAGGCCTTTGTGCTCCAGGAAGCCAGTGAGCAAGAAAAGATCCTGGCTGATCATCCAGCAGCTTGCAGTTGCTGGTGACACAGTGTATATTACACACAATGGTTATTACAAAGGCTTGCCTAAACTCTCTTGCACTGACCACCACATTTATGGACCTTCTTTGCTGCTATGTGGGAGAATGTTTCTCAAAACACCAAAATGTCAGATTTTAGTGGCTGGGGAGAAACCTCTCTGAATTCAGTGCAGAATCCACACGAGAAGTCAGTCAACTTCAGATGAACAGCCCGAACTGTCAAGGGTGTTAAGGGGGCAGTCACCTACAGCTCATCCCTGGCCTGAGTTGAAAGGTCTTTGGTCTGGCCTCCACCTCTTCTTATACATCCTGTTACAGCTCATCCCTGGCCTGAGTTGAAAGGTCTTTGGTCTGGTATATATCAACTTCTTATACACTCTTGGAAATATAAAATCTATGGCAAGGTTGAAAAGCTCACAGTTCCCATCACTCTAATGTTACTTCTACCAGGAAAAATGCTGTTTTCCCTTCCACATGCCATGCTGCTGAAATAAAGGTATTGAAGTGGTACAAATAATGACCATTTAATTTACCACAGCTTTGCAACCGTTGCCATGCACTCACTTGCTCTCTGTATTCATCTTTCAAGTACTGACATCAGTGTCACTGCAGACAAATTGTTGTCTCCACACAAGAACCAACAAGGCAATAAAAAGCACTAACCTTCGCTGACAGGGGTGGCATAGCCCTCCAGGTTCAACATGATATCTCCATCCGTGTCATCAGCACCAGCTCCCAGGAGCATCCAGCTTTCAATGTCATCAGTGTCAGAGATCAAGCTCTCCTCCTCCTCCGAGCTGTTGTCTATCACCAACACTTCCTGGATGGCTTGAGGTCCAGCAGAACCGACTGGGGTGGGCCTCCCACTAGTGCTGTTTCTCTGCCTTGGTGTGCCCACACCAGACGCAGGGGGACACGGGGCTTTACATCTGGCAGCTTTGGTGTGATTTGGTGTGGAAGATACTGGGAGGATGCGTGTTTTACCTTTAGCTGAAGAGCATCTTGACCTCTTTGCCTTGCTTTTGTAGATGCTATCTTCATCTGGTGTATCGGACAGAACAATGACCTCAGGCTCATCTGAAAGCTGAGTACCATCTTCAGTGAGTTGATGAGATGTCTTCTCATCTTCCTCCTGTTTCTCAGTGAGACCTGAACTTTGACCCATGACTTCTCCAACATCAGCTTCTTCATCCATTTCCACTGTACTGTTTTCTCCAAGATCATGGGAATAGTGGATCTGGCTATAGAGATGAAACTCCACCTCACTATCAACACTCTGCTCACTGGATGACTCCTCAGGATAAAGTTCGTCCTCATACACTTCAGTATTCTCAGGATCACCATACCCAGTAAACATTCTGGAAAGTGAAGAGCCTGAGTCTACAAAAAAATCAAACAGATACATTAGAATGGTCATATGTCCAGAATAAGCCTCCAAATGATACCTTTGATCGTCTTGAAATTGCTCGTGTGAGTTATAGAGTTCTGTACACAGAATATTAAACTGAGCAGATTTAACAGCTACCTGTGCTCAAATGTGGAACAGTAAAAGCTACTTAAGGATACATTTGTATTCACCATAACTACTACTTCAGCGCAATTACTCTGAAAGTGGCATTTATGAGTTCTCCACGCCCACACCCAGAATGCTGCACACACCCTGGGCTCTCAAGTACTGGAGTGAGTGCAGCAAAGAGCCAATAAAACCATTGAGGGATTAGAATATCTGTAGAAGGTCAAGCTGGGATTGCTACTGCACCGGAAGAGAAAGCTCAGAAGGATTTATCCATGCTCACAAACACCTGGGGCAGGGGGAGTAAACAGGACAGAATTACCACAGCACTGCCCAGAAAGAACTTGAAAGGGAATGGTCACAAAATAACAAAATACAGGGAATTCCACTTAAATGTAAGTCTGTGTGCCTGAAAGGCTTTGGAGCCTCCATTCTTGAGGACCTTCATACCTCAGCTAGGCACAGCCCTGAGCAAGCAGCTCAAGGTCACTCTGCTGTAAGCCAGGGCTGAAATTGCCAGAGGCTCCTTCCCAACTCAGCTATCCTATGATCCCAGCCCAAGAGTGAGTGTGTTCAGAGCTCATAGCCTGCTCCCTTGCAAGACAGGTAATACAAGGATGTTCTAAAGTCACCCTTGCTTCCTTGAGAGACTACCTTTGTGCTCGTGACCACATGATGCATGGAGTATAGGAAATGGAACACTTCCTCTGAAAGTCTGTCTGTATTTCTGCATTACAGTTACTCCCATGGAAGTCACCCAGCTTCTTCAGACATGAAAACTGACAGATGGAAGAAGTAGATGGCTGGGGAAGTAGAGTTTCATGATACTGTTTAAATCCACTTAGTCACACAAACAAAAAAATTCAGATTTGTGAACTTTGTACAGAGGTAACTTGTGTGATGATGGTATTTAAAGAACCCAAAGGTTCTCATTATGAAGGCTCTCCTCTCTCACTCAGGTTCCTAAGTAAACATAAACATAACAGCTAATATGCTAAATATATGAAAGAACAAGGTGGTAGTAGACACAATAAACCTACTTTACACCATCACCTAGCTTACAATGTTGTAGAAAGGAAGAAAAAGTAAAACAATGGCACCTGAATGGCCATAGTTTAAAAACTGACAGACCAAATGCAGGCCCCGAACTTCAACATTTTTTCAACTTCACATGGGGTCCCTGTTTCAAACAGGTTGCAGCCTGTTCCTATCCACATAGCGAGAACAGGGCTCCAATCAAGCACATTCACAATATTAACATGTGGTTATGAGGTGTGATAAGAGACCTTCAGAAATGTAGGAGAGTAACAAATCCTCCTGAGGATGCTGTGTTTTCAGTGATACTCCAAAAGCCAACTGAATCCAAGTACTCCTTCCTCCACTTCTGTCAGACAGTGGATGAAGTCACACATAGTAAGCAGTGACCACTACTAGAACTTGCAGCTGAACAACACTGATGTCTCTCTCTCTCCAGGGAGCTGACTCATGGACACTTCACAGTGCAGGCAAGCATGACACAAACAAGCAGCAAGACTACACTCACCTTGATTCATCCTTCCCAGAAGGTCAAACAGCAGCTCCTCCTCCTCTCAGGTCCACACTGACTGGGATAATGAAGGGCTCTTCCTCTTGCTCAGCATGTATGCCAGGCCACTGGAAATAAGAAACATCTAACATCAGCACCACAACATGATTTGAAAACTTGTTGGTCACCATTCTCACACTCAGTCCACAGCCTTGCCTTTCCTCTTCAGGAAAGAGAATCAGCCATGTCAGGTATCTGACATCACAGCAGACACAAATACAGCCTCAAGGAAAGGGAAGAGGAGCTCAACAAAGCCGTGCTGTTTTTCAGATTGTCAGGCTGAAGCAGTCTCTCACTGAGTTCACAGAAGTAACTCAGAGAAAGACCTGACTGTGACTTCAGGTTTCCTTTTGCCAGTGAAAAGCTTAGACTATTGGCAAACATTCTTTTCCATAGATTCACAGAAGGGTTTCAGCTGGAAAAGACCCCTAGGGTCACTGCTCTGTCAGTTGGTGCTCACCTCTAAGTGCCACACACATCTTGCTTCCAGCTGGACTATTGTAAAGACACTCCTCACACCTGAGTGTGAAGAACACATTAAAAATATTAGTCCTGCAAAGACTACCTGATTTGATAGGCTGCAGGGAGCAACAACACACTGACACATCTTACTTTGGAACTAGATTACCTGACTTTAAAAAAAACAAACCCAAACTTCAAACCTCTGGCAGCAGTTGAACCCCATTCCTTTACCTAGAGGAATCCCATTCCTGCCTGAACCCAGAGCACAACCTTCCTCAAAAGCACCTGACTGCCTCTCAGGCAGCCCCTAAGTAAGAACAGTTCAAGTAAACGCCTACAATGTTAAAATTTAAAAATTACAGACATCTGAGTTCCTTCTAGCTATTTCCAAACACAACTGCACATGGCTGCAGTTGGCAGTGACAGGTATAATTTTCAAACACTGCTTGCCAGTGTTTTTCACCTGGCCCATTAGAAACCTGACATCCCACATGTGATGCAGCCACAGGAATGGCAGCTGCACCACACAGGCAAAAGGGAGGTGCCACTGGCAACTCGAAACAGGGAGGAAGGGCAAGGCCAGCAAACAAGAAAAAACAAACAAGTTAATTAGAACACCTCAGCCAAAATCCCACAGGGGGTTTGGGATGCTCAGGTCCCACTCATCTGCAGAAGGGACTGTGAAGTAAGAAGCTCAGGAGAGTCCTTCCCATGTCATTCCTGTTCACTTACCTTGACTCTCCCTCTCAACCCCTCCTTTCCACTGCTTAACTCCAGCATTTCTGCTGTTCTTGCTTTCTCAAGTTCTAACAGCTCCAAGAGCTCATCATGCTTAAATTCAAACACTAAGATTTCTTCAAAAGTTCAAATGAAAACTAAAACACAGAGACTACTTCTTCCATTGCATGTGACTTTTCAAACAAAAAAGTCACTGTTCCCTTCCCAAATCATCAGTGAATTCAAAATATTTCCTTATTTATCTCATTCTCATCTTGATCTCCAGTCAGATCTAGACTGATCTAGTTTTTGATAACTGCTGCACTGAGAATAGAGAAGCAAACATGCTCTCTACTGCCTTGGAACACAAAATACAACCCTACTGTCAGGCTGTTAATGATAGCAACGACAAAAGGAAAGCTCTGTCAAGAAAATTACCATACTGTGTATCAGAACAGAGGGTCAGATACTGGGACAGGAGGAGCCAGAATTTTTGTCAGCTTTAAATTTAGTTATATTTGTGATACATAAACTGCCTGGTGCTTCAGACTGCTGAGACACTGCAAAGGCACAGACAGTATGAAACTGACAAAGAACTTAAATGTTCCAGAGCATGTGAATAAAACCTATCACTTCAGCTGCTGTAGCTGCTTTTGCACCCTGCACTGCCTGGATTCCATGAGAAAATGATCATTTTGAAGCTCATGACTGAAATGATAATCACATCTGGGAAGGCAGGAAAATGTACTTAAATGTATTTATAAAGACCTACCCAAAGATATATTTATTAACAGAAGCCAGTGTCAGGTGACTGTTCCCCTGCTCTGTTTCTGTACCCAGTGTGATTCCAGCCTGGCTGTGCCTCACAGGAGCAGCCACGTGGTTCTCTCAGAGCAGCTGAGAAAGGCACAACCCTCATTTGCTGCCCAGGTGAGACTGCAGCCAGCAGCCACCTGTGGCTGCCCCATCTGAACTGGAGAAGTCCTTACAGAGGAACATGGAAAAGTGTCAGGAGGTGGGTTGGGAGCAGCCTCTGTCCTCATTTCCCACGATCTAACAGTGATTTTTGGCTAAATACTGAGATGCAAACGCTATCCTTGTCCCATTTGCCGTTGGAGGAGACACAACTGTTCTGGACTTTGTTTAAATGAAGTGCAAGGAGAGAAACAAAGCCTTGGAGAAGAGGTCAGCATTTTTCTAGTGGCAGCTATACCTTCAAGAGATCACGGGAATATCTCTTCCACACCCGAACCTTGAAAAATAACAAAATATTTCACGTTTACTTCAAGCCTTTCAGAAGATTTTTTTTTCTTTCCACAGGCATTTTCCGAATCATGTTTAAGAGTAACATGGTTTTCCTTGGGTCCTAGGGCTGGATGTGGTTTGGCGAGTGGGAACAAATCAGGAATGAAGATCCCGGGGAAGGGGAGGGACATTCCGGGGAAAAGGGATGCACAACCCGAGCACCGGCGGCGGACGAGGGAGCACGCGGAGCGCGGGTCCGGCCAGACGCAGAGCCCTCCCCCGGAACTGCAGGGCCGCTGGGGACCGCGGCTCGTTGCCGGGGCTGCCGGAGGGACCGGGACACGCC